TCGCACCCCCAGACTCACAAGTAGTTTTGCAAGGGTTCTGATTTGCAAGACCTGTGTTTGGCAAGGGCAAAAAGGTCAGGTTCCCCATGATGACCTAAAGTTCTCACCCTGGAGTCTGAAAGAGCAGGGGGGGAGGCGCCCGTTTTTGTTAGGAAGAACAAAAAAAATTCATTTTTACCTCCTGGGCTTGCGCCAGTTTCCTTTGGGGGCTGGTGGTGAGGCATCCGGCTAGGCTTGCAAGGTGCCCCTCAGCCTTCCCGTCATGCCCATCACTCCCAACGCCCCAAACTGAAGTGAACCTAAAGTGACATCCCAGCGCAATACTTTTTTTTTTTTGGTCACTTTTTTTCTTTTTGGTGATGCTCAGGGGTTACTCCTGGCTCATGCACTCAGGAATCACTCCTGGCGGTGCTCGGGGGACCATATGGGATGCTGGGAATCGAACCTGTGTTGGCCATGTTAGCTGCATGCAAGGCAAACATCCTACCCGCTGTGCTATCGCTCCAGCCCCCGCAGCGCAATACTTGAGCCTCTGGTTCAGGCCTGTGGTTGGTTGGTAAGGGCCGTGTCAGGTTCCCTGTGACCGGCAGTTTGTACCTGAGTCTGGAAGCTTGTTTGCAGGACGAGGGGAGGGATGGAGGGCATGATCTGATCTCCTGCCACCCCCCACAATGTGCTTCCACCACGTCTTATTAGGAAATACCCACAATTTTTTGTTTCTATGTCCTTGGCATTTGCTGTCCTTGTGGAACTACTGTAGCTTCTCTGACAACAAACATCTAACAAGGCACCATCAGTTTCCCTCCTGAGCAAAGCAGCTTCCATGGATCTTCCAGATCTCAGTTTCCACACACACACCACCCCCCCCGCCCCCGCACACACAACACACCACATTCACCATGTAAGGTTGTGTGAGAAATGCCTCAATTAACCCTGCAAGGCCCTCTGCTCAACCACTGCCTTCCCCCCACCCCAGCGAGGGAAAAGGGTCAGGATCCCTAGGGGATAGGAGACTTAACCATGTCTGGAGTCGCTCAAAAGTGGGCCACACACAGGCCTGTGGAGGAATTCATTCATCCATCCATTGCATCAACCATTAATGAGATTGTTCCGTCAAATAGACTCCACTCCACTGGTGAATCGCCATGTGGTCCATGACGGCTTCCAGCTCAGGGAGGAGAGAAAAAGGCAGGGAAGATGGACTGGACCCAGGCCCCCAGGGTGGCCAGCGCTGCCCTCCTGCCCAGTTTACGGCAGGCAGGAGAGGTGGGGTAGGAAGGGCAGCCTCCAGCCTGGCCGGCTTCCTCCCTGGGTTCCTCCCAGCTGGGCTCTGGCCAAAGGCTGAAATACTCAGGAGCTGGCAAGGCCTGAGCCAGCCAGCCGGGAACGCCAGGAGCGGGTGCTGGGTGCAGGAAGGAGAGAAGCTGGTCCCCGCCGGCTGGCAGTTGCCAGGCCAGGGGAGAGCTGAGGAGTCGGGACCAACTCTCTGTCCTGGCTCGGAACACAGGTCAGTTCTTCCTAGTTCAGTGTATGGTACTGTGTTTTCAGAGATGGGGTGTGTGTGGGGGGGGGAGAAATGCGTTCTGAAAATAGTCCAGTGATGTTCAATTTGGGGGATCTCACTGACCACAACACTTTCTTTTTTTTTATATTCATTTAATCCTTATTTTAGGCCCTGTGATTCGAAACACTATTAATGGTTGGATTTTGTGCATAAAACGCTCCTCCAACCGGTATGAAAATAATAGATGGGAATGATCATGCTGGACAAGAACTGAGTGTTGGGGCCTGAGTGATAGCACAGCGGGTAGGGCGTTTGCCTTGCACGCGACCAACCCGGGTTTGATCCCCAGCATCCCATATGGTCCCCCCAAGCACTGCCAGGAGTAATTCCTGAGTGCAGAGCCAGGAGTGACCCCTGAGCATTGCTGGGTGTGACTCAAAAAGAAAAAAACAAAACAAAACAAAACTGAGTGTTAAAAGTAGGTAAAGGGATAACCTTAATAACCTTTCAGTCTCAATACTGTAAACCACATTGCCCAAAAGGAGGAGAGAGAGAGAGAGAGAGAGAGAGAGAGAGAGAGAGAGAGAGAGAGAGAGAGAGAGAGAAGTGCCTGCCATAGAAGCAGGCAGGGGGTGGGAGGTGATGGGAAGGAACCTGGGGACATTGGTACTGGGAAATGTACACTGGTGGAGGGATGGGTGTTGGAATACTGTATGACTGAAATCCAATCATGAACAGCTTTATAAGGGTCTATCTCACAGTGATTCAATTAAAAAGCTAAGAAAACAAAAAACAACCACTCCTCCAGGGTGTCAGCTTCCCCCCACCATTGCCTCAGGTCCTCCCCATTCTCTGTGCTCTCCCCAGCCCACCACAGTAAGTATCCAGTTCTGTTTCTATAACTGCAACACCTTCAAACAAACCAAATTAGAAGAGGCTGCCATGGCGTTGGGGTGTTTTATTTTTAGTTGGGCCATATGGACCATATGCTACCACCATTTCTACCCAACGACTGGACAGTCTTACAAGAAGGAATTAGAAAACGATAATTTCTGACTAAATGATAGGCCTTAAAGCATGCTTCACTACCTAAACCAATTCAATATTGATCTTAATCTGCTCATGCATAACAAAACCATGGAAATTCACGGGATGAGCACTCAGAACTGATTGAAATCCCAGAGCTAATCAACTCCATTCTGCAAACTCCATTCTTAAGAAACTGAAACTGGGGCAGGGAGATAGTTCAGGAAGGAAGACTCTTGCCTTGCAGGCAGCTGATTCCTGCCCCACAAACTCCACCCCCACCGCTGGACAGCAACACCAAGAGAGACCTCCTGAGCACAGAATCAGGAGTAACCACTGAGCTCTGCTGAGTGTGGCCCAAACCTCCCAACCAAAAAAGCAAAACAAAACGAATCCAGCGAAGAGTCAGTCAAAGGTGAGTCCTATTGTGTCTGGGCTTGGTCCAGTTCCGGCAAACCTGCATTTTAATACCAGGAGGGAGGACAGGACAAGGGCCAGGGCATAAGTCTCCAGGGTGATTTCTGAGTCTTTTCCAAAGTACCCTTGTCTCACCAGAGCTCCTCGGCGGATGGTTCTGCCTTCTAATCCCAGAAGTGGATATCCGTAAATTCTTGGGCTTCCCTCCTCTCCAGACACCCCCCACCCCCATCCTCCACCCCCAGCCTTCTTCCTGCCCAGGGCAGGCTCCCCTTCTGAGTATCCCCAATCAAGCTCTTCCAAAACTCACAAAGTAACTGGCAGAAGGAAGCGAGCACAGGAAGGGGAAGGACCCAAGGTGATGCTCAGATCTCTGGAGGAAGGAACAGGGTATCTGGTGGAACATTTACAGGGGCCTGAAACCCAGTGAGTAGAGGATGGCTGTGGTGACAAGAACACAGAATTGGAGGTGTCTGTATCTTCTCTTTGCTGACCTTTGTTCACTCATTCAACCAATGTTACATTTGCCTCTAGTGAGCCCAGTGCTGGAGGGTTGCTGTGAATTAAGACATCCCCTAAAACTGGACAGGTTTGGGAGGAAAAGGCACAATCAGGAAAGTGCCCTGAAGGCTGGAGGAAAAAAGGAATTGAGGGAAACCAGAGGCCCATCTGTTCCCCTACCTTAGCCAACCAGGCAGGAACATAGCACAAATAAATGATATTTGAATAAATGATAGGCCCTAAGGCATGGGATGAGCACTCAGGACTGATTCAAATCCCAGAGCTAATCATCTCCGTTCTGCAAACTCCATTCTTAAGAAACTGAGACTGGGGCAGGGAGATAGTTCAGGAAGGAAGACGCTATAATTTTCCTCCCTTATCTCATCTGAATGAGGGACAGCCCTGTCCCCTCTTGGGGTCACTTCTGTGGGGGCAGGACTTATCTAGCTCAAAGTACAACCTCCAAGGTGCCCGGATCACCTACCCTGGGTTTTCATGTGAAGAAGATTTCTCACTGCAGAAATTCTGCACATTGCTGCACCAACCTATACCCAAACTCAGCAATACGGGGTGGGGTGCTGCCAGAATGAATGAAGGATTGTCCCAAGATTTCAGGTGGGTGTAAATAAACCTGATCCCTGCTCTCCAAGAACCCGGAGTTATGTAAGTGAACAAACCACACCCAGAGAAGCACGCAGTCCAGGTAAAAGGGAAAATAAGGTGTGACTGAGGCATCTGTGAGATCCTCTCATGCAGGCCTGAGGATCTCCCGGGCAGGGATGGTGACTCTTCCACAGAGGTGGGGGAATAATCACCATGCTGTATTTTTGGAGATTACCAATCTCAACTCCCCACCGGAAGTGCTTGGGAAGAGAGTCCGTCGCAGATCGGAGCCTAGAAGCTGGCCCTGCAGTAAGGAATGTCACCTGCATCTACTGCTAGGAGCTACACGAAACACTCCGATCTGCCAGCCGTCCACTCTTTCTGGCCGGCGAAAAACTCCTAACAGCCAAAAAAGGTATATTCGGGAAAAAAATCGAAAATAAGCAAGAAAATACGGTTGGGGCCTTCAGAAATCCCTTCCACTGCATGGATCCACTCGCCTGGGGTCTGCGTTCTTGCAGACTGCTGGAGGCCCCTTTAATCCATCGGGTCCTCCTCCTTCCCAGCCCACTCCCGCCTCGGGGACATCCCCGGCGACAGACGCACCGCCCCCACCGCGCCCGCGCGCCCGCCGCAGCGTCGCCGCCGAGCCGCCGCCGGGACCTTTCCCCTACTTTCCAGCAACCCCCCCCTTCAGGCCCCGCCCCCTAGCCCGGCCCCAAACACGTGCCGCAGCCCGCCCGGCCTGATCACGCCGCGGCCAGGCTCCTATCACGCGGCTCCCCGCGGCGCCCATTGGCCGGCCGCGCGCAGGCCGCACGCGGATTGGCGGATGGGCTTCCGGCCCCGCCCAGGCGGGGCGCGGTGTATTTTGGTTTGCCTCCGCGCCCCGCCCCCGCGGCCGCTCCCTCCGCGGCCGCCCCGCCCTCCCGCGCCGCGAGGGCCGCGCCGGGGCACAGCCGCGCGGGCGGGCGGAGGCGCGCGCCGGTCGCTGAAGCTCCGGGTCGCCGCCGCCGCCGCCCGCCGCGCACCGAGCTCCCGCCCCGGGGCCGCTGGGTGGCCTCCAGGCCGTTGGCACTATGCACACGCCGGGTTCTGCGGGCCCGGGCGACGCGCGCGCGGTGAGTAGCCGCCGGTCTCGGCGAGGGGCGAGGCTCGGATGCACCGTCTGAGCGAGGCCGGGGCGCGGAGAAAGGGAAAGGGGGTGCGGGCTGGGGAGGGTGGTGGTCGGCGGCGCAGGAGGGACCCTGCTGCGGCTGTCTGGCCAGGGTCCGGGGCGATCCTCCGAGCGGGGAGGGGAGGTTGCGGCGCGGGGGCGGGGAGGGGGCGTGTGCCCCGGGCCGCCCCACCGCCGTACGTGCAGCTTTGTCTCGCGCTTTCGCCGCGCCCCTCCCCGCCGGCCCCGGCGCGGGGCTATTTCCAGCCATGACGTCACCAGGCCCCGGGAGAAGGCGGCCGTTGGGCGGGGCGGCGCGACCGCCGGGAACACGGGGGGCGCAGGAGCTCCGGGGGCGCCGGCGACCGGGAGAGCCTCGTAAGAACGCCGTGGCGCGGCCAAGGCGGGTGGCAAGGCCGCACGCGGGGGGCTTCGGGCAGAAACCTACGTGGGCGGGGCCAGGGCGGGCCGGGGGCGGGGCCAAGGCTGGCGGGAAGGTGCGCGCAGGGAACTAGGCAGAGGCTTGGGGGGCGTGGCAGGGGCGGGGCCAAAGCTGGCGGGAAGGCCGCACGCAGCGAACCGGGCCGGAGCCGCTGAGGGCGGGGTCATAGTGGGGCGGGGTAGGGGCGGGGCTAAAGCTGGCGGGAAGGCCGTAAGCAGGGAGCGAGCAGTTGCCGCTGGGGCGGGGCGGGACGGGGGCGGAGCTAAAGGTGGCGGGAAGGCCGCTGGGGGCGGGGCCGAGCTAAAGCTGATAGGGGGCGGGGCTAAAGCTGGCCAGGATGCGAGGCGCAGGAGACTGGCCCTGGAAGTTGCGAGGACTGGCCGGACAGGCATGTGGCAGAGCTGGTGGGCAGCTCTTGGCCTTGAAGTGGAGGGGGTATGTCCTCCAGTACCTGAGGGCCACAGCTGCTGTGGGAGAGGTTCCAGAACCTTCCCTTCCCTCCCACCCCATTGCTGAAGTCAAAGCGCTGTGACCCCACCTGGCTCTAGACAGATCAGGCAGTGTTCTGTGACCTCACAGTTCCCTGGGCCGGAAACTGTCAGACCTTTGTTACCTGCCTAATGAGGACCAGGGAGTGCTGCCTGAGCAGGACGGGGTTCTGTGCTAATGAACACTGTGTGAAAGCATGGTTCTCTAAGTGCTCTAAAGCTATCTTTGGGGGCCTGGCACAGTAGTACAGTGGATAGGGCATTTGCCTTGCACGTGGCCGACTAGGGTTTGGTCCACCGAGCACTGCCAGGAGTGAGCCCTAAGTGCAGAGCAAGGGGTAATGTCTGAGTACCACCAGGCGTGGCCCCAAACCCAAAAATAAAGTAACATTTAAGGAGAGATGGTTCGTTCCAGTTGCTTACCCCATCTCTGTAAGATCAAGAGGGGGTGATGCACCAGGAAGAAATCAGTGTTCTGGACCAGGGAGGACCTTAAACATGCTGCCACTCTAGCACCACATAAGGACTCCCTGAGCACAGAGCAGAAATAATCCCTGAGCACTTGTCCAGTGTGGCCCAAAACCAAATTGTTATGCTTCCCCACTCACCAGACGCCTGGTGCTGTGGGCAGTGGCTTTGTGTTCTGAGTTTGGGGAACAGCCTCAGATTAGCACAAGTGCTGCAAGGGATGGGGGTGAGGGTAGGGGGTGATTAGGAGACCCCTGACTTTCACCAAACTTGAGAAGCCCTCTGGTGTGCTGTCCCTAGTGCTTTGTGGCAGCCTCCCAGATGGCTAAGAGCCAGTGTCCCCAGAGAGAGTAGGACACTAGCAACTCTAGCTTGCACCTCTAGAATTGAAGTTCTGTAAATTATTTACTGAAGGAAGCGTGAATTTCATAACCTCGTTGAAGAATCCATTTTCTGAACCAGAAAGATACAGTGGTTTGGGCACTTGTACTGTAGGGCTGGAGCGATAGCACAGCGGGTAGGGCGTCTGCCTTGCATGCAGCCAACATGGCCGACCCGAGTTCGATTCCTCCGCCCCTCTCGGAGAGCCCGGCAAGCTACCGAGAGTATTCGATATGCCAGACACAGTAACAACAAGGTCTCCAATGGAGACGTTACTGGGCCCGCTCGAGCAAATCGATGATCAACGGGAGGGCCTTTACCTTTACCTTTTACTGTAGGCTGCTGACCAGAGTTTGAGCTAAAGCACCCCGTTTGGTCCCCTGATCCCCCACCAGGAGTGAACCTTGAGCACAACCAGGTGTGACCTAAAAACAAAAAAAGGAACAGGCTTTCTGTGCATACCACTTCCCAGCCAAGTCCAGCCCTTCTCCCTCCTTCTCACACCGGCACTGAGGTTGTCTTTTACTAGAGCACAGAGCACATCCTGCATGGGGTGAAGGGGGGGGGCGTTTCCTGTGAGTCCCTGGAGTGGATGATGATCCACTGCCCATCTGGGTTCCTGTCACTGTGTTGGCTGGGATTGAGAGGCCCTGTCATGTTGCCTCTAGGTGGAGATCATGGACATATGTGAGTCCATTCTGGAGAGGAAGCGGCATGACAGCGAAAGGTCTACCTGCAGTATCTTGGAGCAGACCGACATTGAGGCTGTTGAGGCCCTTGTTTGCATGAGCTCCTGGGGTCAAAGAGCCCAAAAGACTGAGCTCTTAAGGATCCGACCCCTCACTCCGGTCTCCGACTCTGGGGATGTCCCCACTGGTGGGCACGTGGATGCAGCAGCAGCCGAGCTACCAAAGGACTTCCATTCTCTATCAACTCTGGTAAGAGGGTGCAGGAGAGGGGTACTTGTGTCGTAGAGAGGCCCAGAGAGCCCAGAGGGTAAGGCATTTGCCTTGCTCACTTGCCTTCCCCGGTTTCATCCCCAGTATCACCAGGAGGGACACCTGAGTACTGTCCATGTGGCCCAAGCCCCTAGATAGCTGTGTAGATTAGTTGGAATGCAGGCAAACTCTTTCATACCCTCCCCTTGTCCAGGTACTGTTGGTGAACACTTGCTTTTTCCTCTTATAAATAGGCATTTCACGGGCCAGAGGGATCGTACAGCAGGCTGGACACTGGCCTTGCAAAGTGGTCAACACAGTTTTGATCCTAGTACTCCAGATGGTCTCCCCTGAGCCTTGTTAGGAATAAGTCCTAACTTAGAGCGTAGCTGACTGTGGCTGTGCTCCACACTTTCATTTCTCCAAAAATGCACTTCAAGAGCGAAAGTCGACTGGGTGAGAGCGACAGGCTTTGTTGAGGAGGATGGAGGAGTGGAACTTTGCCATTACCCCGATGATTCAGGACAGGACAGGGTCAGGGTGTGTGAATGGCAAGCAAAAAAGTCATGTGCTCTGGCACCAGGCTTAGTTGGACTGAAATTACTGGCCTCTGTCTCTCTGTGGCATGCAGCTTACTTTTGTGAGTTTTTGAGCAAACACTTCTTGTTTCCTTAACATTTTTATAGTTATAAAATTGCTGGGGAAAATTGTTCTCGGTGGGGAAAGTTAGAGAGCTTTCAGTTGCTGGCAAAAATAACAGTTAGTCTGAACTAGAAGCTTACACTGGAAGCAGAATACAGTAACCAACAAGTGAGGGGTGTGGCGTAGATCAGAGAAGCAGTGTGCCTGGCCTCACCCCCCAAATGATTGCCCATTGAGCCCTTTCACCAGGAGGGTAGAAAGACCAGGGGGTTGCTGGGGAGCAGGACACGGTGAACTTTAATTCGAACAAAACTGCCGATCAGAGCTTGGCCTTTCAGAGATGGTTCTCACAAATTCTACCATGCATTTAGCATATATCCCTCAAATTTAATTTTTAATCATTTGAGAATCAAAAATTGTTGTGAAAAGCTCTCATTTTCAACGTAATATTATTCCTTTCTTTTGTAGTCTTTTTTTTTTTCCCCTTTTTGGGTCATACCTGGCAGTGCTCAGGGGTTACTCCTGACTTTGCACTCAGGAATTACTCCTGATGGGGCTCGGAGGACCATATGGGATCATATAGGATGCTGGGAATCAAACCTGGGTCGGCTGCATGTAAGGCAAACGCCCTACCCGCTGTGCTATCGCTCCAGCCCCTCTTTTGTAATCTTGATGCTAAAATTGCTCATCTCAGTAGGTGTGTGGGCCCAGAGCAGCGCATATCGGTGCTAATGGATGGGCCCAGCAGCAGGACTAGAATCAAGTACCTCGTACGTCCTTGAACTTCGTGGGTGTTCCTAGGAGCAGGCTTGGAGCAGTATTTTCTAGATCTTCTTAAAGCAGCAGATCAAAATAAGTCCCTTTTGAAATTTTATTTAGCACCAGCTCAGCTCTGGTACTGCTTATGGCCTCCTGGGCATTTGTCACCAGGAGTGATCTTTGAGCATCACCAAGTTTGGCCCTAGCCGCCTCTCCCAGCAACAGAATTACCTTCGTGTTTGCTTCGGCAGTTCACGTACTAAAATTGGTGCCATACAGAGAAGATTGGTCTTGTCCCTGCGCAGGATGATATGCACGTTCCTGACACGGTCCATATAAAACACTTGCCTTTGAAGCTGCAGAGAGCATGCCAGAGTTGCCTTGCGCTCGGCCGGCTGTGGTTCCATTCCCAGACCCCATATGGTCCTCCCAGTCCCACCAGGAGTAAGCCCTGAGTACTGCTGGTGTGACCCAAACCCTCCCCTCTTGCAAAAGGTACAGATTAACCCAGGCAACCTTTTCACACAGAACTTTTCTTTTTTTAAGTGCATGACTCCTCCCCAGAGCCCTGACCTCATGGATCCTTCGATGGGAACACTTGTCACTTCCCAGATAACTGATTCCAAAGCACGCTTGATCGTAGCCACGCCCTCAGCCCCCAGTGGGCCAGCTAACATGCAGAGCAGGAGGGCGGAGAAGGGCCTGCCTGCTGTGAAGCCGGAGCCACGGGAGCCAGCCGTGGGCCCCACCTGCGGGGCCACAGTGACAAGTGTCATCTGCCATACTACGGGGAACCCTCCCGCCCACATTCCTACTGCCCAGGCTCCAGACCACGGACAGTCAGACAGCAGAGAAGGGAAAACACGGTTTCTGGGACCTACAGAAGCTCTGCAGGACGCACCCCTCATGGACAATGTGCTTGCTGCGGACTTGGTGTCCTGTCAGCCCTGTTTGCACAAGTCTGGTGGCCTGGTCCCTGCTGACAGCGGCCACCAGCTAGGGTGGCCTCTCGCAGTCAAAACCTGCTCACCAAAGAATTCCGAAAGTGACTTGCCCGGGAAGGCCGCTCCTCTGATTTCTGTCCCTGTCCCCAACCCTCCTGTCCTTTGCCAAATGATCCCTGTGACTGGACAAAATGGCCTGTTATCAGCTGTTTTGAAGCCTCCTCCCCAAGTGTCAGCGGGGACTGCCAAGCCCATCCTGCCCCAGCCGGTGGTGGTGGGCCCCTCTGTGCCTCAGGGAGCCGTGATGCTGGTGCTGTCCCCCGGAGCCCTCCCCCCGCCCGCCGCCTGCCCATCGGCCCTGATGGCTGTCGGGAGCCCCAAGTTGCTGCCCCTAGCGCCTGCACCAGTGTTCATTGCCTCCAGTCAAAACTGTGCCCCTCAAGTAGACTTTTCCAGAAGAAGGAACTATGTGTGCAACTTCCCAGGCTGTCGGAAAACGTACTTCAAAAGTTCCCACCTCAAGGCTCATCTCCGCACTCACACGGGTGAGTAGGGGGCAGGTATGGCTTGGGGAATGTTCCAGCTTATGCTTGGGAAGTACTGGAGCTGCCTTTGGACCCGAGGGGGAAGCAGGAGAACCACCGGGGAAGGTGTAAATATGGTCATTTTTCTTCGATTCTTAGAGGCCTCTGTAGTCGTGCAGTGATTGGGATTAACAGTACAACCGTCAGTGATTTTTTTTTTTGTAGCTTGCCATCTGCTCAGCCCAGAGATAAAGTACAGTATCGTTTTGTGATGTGATCCTCTGTACAGCGGCACTCTTGTGACGCCCCGCCTCTTTGCATCTCATTCGTCCTTTGCATTTTTAGAATATTTGTGTTGGCATTCCTTCGTATCTTAATATTTAACTTAAGTTTATTACGGGCAGAGGTCTCCTCAGAAATTGCAACAACTTAGTGGCTTCTTATTGTTTCGATCAGCTTGTCCTGCAGAATTTCTGTAGTGATAGAAACATTTCTCTGTCAGCATAATTGCTAGGCAAACATGCTTGAAATGTGACCACGTTTCAAGTGGGAGAGATAGAGTTTATATTTTTCTTAAACTTAAATTGATCTAGTGGCGGGACCAGGGCGAGAGTACAGCAGGGCATTTGCCTTGTATATGGCCGAGTCAGGTTCAATCACCGGGACCCCGTGTGACCCCGCCCCCCCAGGAGTGAGTCCTGAGCGCCACCAAATGTGACCCCAGAACAAAAACAAAATTTAGTGATGATCCGGTATTTAGCCATAGTCTGTCGCTGTCACTGTCCTCCAGTTGTTCATCGATTTGCTCGAGCGGGCCCAGTAACGTCTCCATTGGAGACTTTGTTGTTACTGTGTTTGGCATATCGAATACGTCACGGGGAGCTTGCCAGGCTCTGCCATGCGGGCGAGATACTCTCGGTAGCTTGTCGGGCTCTCTGAGGGGGCGGAGGAATCGAACTCGGGTCGGCCATGTTGGCTGCGTGCAAGGCAAACACCCTACTGCTGTGCTATCGCTCTAGCCCAGCCAAAGTCTAAGGGGTGCATAATAGAGTGGTCTTCAATCTCTGGCCCTTGGGCTGGTGTCAGTACACAGGTGTAGGCCCACTGGTCTGCTCGCCATCTCAGCCCTAGCACTGGCCTGGGGACCATACGCAGGACAGGTGCCCACCCGCAGAGTGAGAAGGGCGGAGGGTGCTGCCTAATATGCTTCCTGCGTTGGTGGATTAAGGGAGAATTTCTCAGATATTTTCTTGCAGTCCTGTTCTTGCGATTTTCTTTCTGTTGCTTTGGTTTTTAGAGGTCTGATTTAATGGTCTACTTGGTAAGTTCACCTTTCAGAAGTTCATACACATGCTATACAGATGTCACTTGCAGTATGAAGCAGGGTCTAGACTTAGGTAAAAGGGGACCTTCTGTTCTCCGTTGAGGAGTCGCTATCTGCTTCAAGGGATGAGGCCCCACGGCTGCCTGTGAGCAATGTGTCTGTTTGTACCTTCTCTCTTCCACTTATTGACCCTCTTGAGGGAGTCTTTCCCAGAGTTTTTGGTGTTTCCTGATCTCCTCCTTCTTGGACCCTAACGGCTTTCTCTGTTTCTCACCATATTCCCACTTTGGTTTTAGTAATTTCAATATCTGTCTGCTCTCAACTCTTACTGGCTTTACTCTCTGGGAGTCTGACATAGTCAGTGGTTGCCGTATGTGTGCAAGCTGGCCAGGGTGGAAGTCCCGGTGTGATGGGCCCCCTGATCAGGCAAGGTCTACTTGTCCCTAAGCCACTGCGGTCACACAGCCCTACAGAGATTATGGAAGTTGGGCTGTTCCACCAGTTCCCCAGTCAAGAACCCACAGAAGTTACAGAATTGGGTGATTCAGTAAACACTTCCAAGTTTCTCAAAACACTTGAATTCAGCCATTAAGATTAAGAATCAGTTTCTTTAATTTTTTCTTTGTTATTTAGATTTTTGGGGGTCAGACCTGGCTCTGCACTCAGGACTTAATCCTGGTGTTGCTTGGGAGACCAGATGGGATGCCGGCCGGGAATCAAACCCAGGTCAGCAGCGTGCAAGGCAAACGCCTTACCCTCTGTACTATCACTCCGGCCCCCAAGAATCAATTTTTTAAGCCACTTATAAACACTTAACTGGAGTTTTCATAAGATACATTCTTATTTTTTTTAAATTTTTATTAGTGAAACACCATGAGGTTGTAGACTTACAAATTTTTGTGCTAGGGTTTCAATTATACAGTGATCGAGTACCCATCCCTCAACCAGTGCCCATTTTCCACCACCACGGGTCCCAGTATCCCTCCCACCCCCCATCCCCCCATCCCACCCTGCCTCTGTGGCAGGGCATTCCCTTTTGTTCTCTTTCTCCTTTTGGGTGTTGTGGTTTGCCAAAGAGGCATTGAGTGGCAATCATGTTTGGTCTATAGTCTACTTTCATCATGCTTCTCCCATCCTGGGAGGATCCTCCCAACACTCTTTATTTGGTGCTCCCTTCTCTGTCTGGGCTCCTTTTCCCTTAGCATGTATGGCTGGCCTCCAAACCATGGAGGAAACTTCCTGGTACTAATCTTGGCCACTCTTGGGTGTTAGTCTCCTATTTTGTTACTTTATGTTCCCCAGGTGAATGCAGTCTTTCTATGCATAAGACATATTCTTGAGTGTTATCTTTAGTGGGAAAAAATTTTACTACAGTAAGGGGAACTGAGTGGAAGCTATGTTTGTGACATGTTGAAAACATGCCCAACACTTTATAAATCCAATACAAAGGAGTGTTCATCTTTGTCCAGCACCTGGCCATCCTGGTGCACTGTCCAGAATGGACAGTGGACAGAGGCTCTCGGGAACAGGTTGGTTAGCCTCATATATACCTCCTGATTTCTCTTGAAATCCTGAAGTTCAGAATGCTTTTTAGACTGTTCATAAAAGACCGTTGTGATCTTGAGTTTTCCTATTATTTCAGTTTTGAAAAACAGGATATTCTGTTGGTATCTCCTTAGTACTCATTCAGAATCACTTATTTGCCACCTACCAGATGAATCATTTGCCTTTTGGGGGCTCAGATACACGAAGATGGGTGAATTAGTCATAAACCCTTCAGAAGATGACCACGTGATGGTAACAGTTCTTAACATAGTCCCCTTAGCAGTCTGGGAGGATCACAGCCTTGTCAGGAGTCAGGACTTCTTGGGGCCGGAGCGCTATACAGTGGGTAGGGCACTTGCCTTGCACACAGCTGACCTGGATTCATCTCCTAGTATCACATATAGTTCCCCAAGCTCCACGCAGGATTGATCACTTAACTCAGAGATAGGAGTAAGGCCTGAGTATCACCAGGTGTGGAAAAAAAAAAAGATTCAGAGTTTTAGGCTATGGAAGAGGGAACAGCACATCTTCCTCTCATTGCCTCAGTCTGGCCGGAAAGGCCAGCAGGGCTTCAGTGCCCCCTGCGGGAAAGGCTCCACAGCTCACTGCGCTCAAGGGAGACCAGGAGCCTCAGGTGCTCTGGGGCAGAATGGCACAGTTGGCCTAGAAGGGGCCTGTTCCTTGTCTAAACCGCCTTGTCACTTGCAACAAAACATGACGGTGGAGGTAATGATTTTGAGAAGTCTCACGTGTCAAAGTAGGGACTTCTATTTTTTTGGATGTGCTTCCTGAGAAGGGAAGGAACCATTTCATTTGAGAATAGTTCCCCTGCCCCAAACAACAACAGTAGGTTTGTTTTCATTTTAAAATATCTCTAGGGGCGGGAGAGCGAACTTGGCAGACTGAGCACAGGCTCTGCATGCAAGGGGCCTGGGATTGGTTCCCAGCACTGCATGTCCCTTAAGCACTGCGGGCAGAACCCCCACAGGCTGGAGTGTAGGTTTGCCCACCAGAGCCCTGGGTTTGTCCCCTAGTGCCGAGTGCCACCAGGTGTGCTCAGAGTATGTTCTGAACAGTCATCCTGACATCCCATACGTCTTGACGTGCCACATCTCAGCTATGGCAGGAAGAAATCGCTCTGCTTTCAGATAGCCTGCAGAACAGTAAGATGGCCTTTCTTAGATTCCGATGAGTAAACACTTCAAGTAACGTAAAACGGCTGTCCAGTAGGATGCTGAGTGTGTGTTTTCTTTAACAAGTGGTGTTCTCCGTTCTTAGGGGAGAAGCCTTTCAGCTGTAGCTGGGAGGGCTGTGATAAGAAATTTGCTCGGTCGGATGAACTCTCTCGCCACCGCCGAACTCACACAGGGGAGAAGAAGTTCGCCTGCCCCGTGTGTGACCGGCGCTTCATGCGCAGTGACCACCTGACGAAGCATGCCCGGCGCCACATGACGACCAAGAAGATTCCCGGCTGGCAGGCGGAGGTCGGCAAACTGAACAGGATCGCCTCGGCCGAGAAGCCGGGCAGCCTGGGCGCGGGTGCGCCTGCCTCTGCCTGAACCACCTCAGATCCGCTCTGCGGGGACTCAAACTCGCGCTTCTCCTGGAACGTTCATCTCGGGGGCTCAGGCAAAGTGGGAGCTGGCTCTGATGAAAGTATGTTCACTTGTTCTTTTCCGTTGGGACCCTGTTCAATATCGTTTATAGTTTCAGAAGTTTTGTTGTTTTTTTTTAAATTTTTTTTTAAAGAAAATGGGGGGAAAATTGATAATCTAAATCACCAGCATTCATATAACCATTTTGGCAATAAAGTTTACAAAATCTGGATTTTTACAATGTTTCTATTCATGTTTTGTAGAAGTGAAACAGGGTACTGGTTTTTATACTGTTTTATAGCAAAAAAAAAATATTTATATTGCTGGTGTTCAGATCACCAATTTCTAGGTAGGTAATTTTACAATCTTTGTTTTAATGTTAATAACATTTTTATAACCTTTTTGTAAACTTGGCATATTAAATCAGAAAAGTAAAAATCACACAGTTTTAATTAGGCCTTTTAGAGCTCAGAATTTTCTAGAATCAGAACTGGTTGAGTAGGGGCCTCTTTGAAGTAAGTGGGGTGGGGTGGGAACTTTGTAGTGAGCTTCTTCGTAACATTTTCCAAGGAAATTCCAGGCAGACCATTCCTTCAAGGCGATAGCCCAAGGAATTCCAGTGAAGTGGAGCTAGTCACCTGTGCCCGTGGTGTGACACGTGAGGGCCGCTCGCCGGAAGAGATCTTCAGTATGTGCTAGGTGACCAGTGAGCAGGGAGGCCGTTGAGAGTCAGACCGTGCTCTGGCGAGGCGGGCAGCGTTTCTTTTCCAGGGAGCAAATCCCTTTCAGTTTCCTGTTTGTACTTCATTCACCAGAAAAAAAAAATCATATAAGCACTCGGGCTTGATTGCTCTGTCAGTTGGCTCCTCTTGCTGTGGCCTTTTCCATCACATTCTGTGGTTAGAGTGGCTTCTCAGAGAACAGTACGTCCTTGCTGTTGGGAGAACTTGGGCTTCGCTGAGGTAGGACATACCTGCAGACAGTCCTGCTCCATGTTTCCATGCTTTGGTCAGACTTTACGTGGCAAGTGCCAGTTAGGCTGGCGGGCAGCAACGTTGCCCCGCTGCCCAGCAGTCAGTTCATCAGAAGGAACTAGTTTTGAGCAGTCGAGAATTGCTTAGAATGGGGTATTTTGCAGTCTTCCTGGATAACAGGCGAGGGGCACCACCTTGCCGCCTGCCCTCTTGGCACAGGCCTCGCTTACCAGGGTGCCACCTGGGCACGGGATACTGCTGAGACTGGTGATGGGGCAGGCCTGTGAGTGTGAGGCAGGAACAAGCACTTTGGGAGCCGGCCGCGGTCTTGACCGTGTAGTCTGTGTTGGCTTTGCCTTTTAGTTACTGGCCTCTACTTTATTAAAATAACCAGTGAAATACTGCATAAATTGGATTTGGGGGCTTGGGGGTCGAGATAGTACAGCAGGTAAGGAGCTTGCCTCGCCTGTGGCTAGCCCAAGATCGTCCCTGGTACCCCCTATGGTCCCTCAAACACCACCAGGAGTGATTGCTGTGTAGAGAGCCAGGAATAAGCCCTGAACATCGCCGGGTGTGGCCCCAAAATAAAAGACTAAAATGAAGTAAAATTAAATAGATCGAATTTGTGTTCAGGTCCGTCTAGTCTGATACAAACCTCACCTGCATGTTACGTCATGTCTATTAAGTTGCCCTTTAGTGTCGATTAATTGTCATACATGTCTATAATTGCCGTCTGTATTTTAGAAGGTTTTCACGATTTAATACAGTTGCAAGATAAGCTTAACTAAATGTATATAGTTTGTTTTCCCATCACCTAATCTTTCTCTCCCATTTCTATATTACTAAATTTGCATAAACATTTCTGATTGTGTTTGCCAGGAAAATGGCACCTAATTAGGATATTTAATTATGCAAAATAACGTTAGTCCTGCTGATGTTCTGGTGGATAATACAAAGCTTTGAATATTTGGTTGCTGGTTACATGGAACTCAGTTTTCTTGAGCCAGTGTTGTTTCTAAAGACTCGATGTGTTAAAAGTTGTTCTGAGTTATACTTCCATTTCCTGATTAGATTTAGAAATGCCAACTGTAAACAGCCTAAGTTTTGCCCTGTTGGCCAATTGAAAGATCATAGGTTGGAAACATTTTCCGTCTGAAAAATACTCTCCTGAGAACCCTTTGTGGCTTCTAGTTTGGGTGTGGGGTCCCTCTGCCGGCTGCCGTGCAGAGCCCATGGCAGACCCCTAGTGCACTTTATTGCCTGAGCAGTTTTGCTTGATCTTTTTTGACTTTGAGCCTTTGAAGTAATTTTAATAATAAATTTTGAAATGTTTCAAAATTATGTTTTATGTAACAGATCTAGACTTCTTATTTAAATGAATATGTGTGATGTAGCCTTTTTTTGTTGTTGTTGAATCACATAAAACTGTTTTGATTTGCAAACTGGACTGTGTCCTGTGTCATTTAACTGCCCTATAGTGTCTCAGTGACTTGGGGGAAGGAATCTACAAAATTCACTGTATATTGGCCAATCCAATTCTCTCGTTTTTTTCTCTGCTCAGCTTCTTAGAGGCCTCTTTGTTGCAGAAGTATGTGACGAGACTGCCCCACCGGTGGCGTGCTGGGGTGCCGGGCTCCCCCACCCTTGTGCTCTTCCTTGGCCAGGAGGTGAACCTGGGGCTGGGGGAAGCCTGTTGCCCTCCCCTCACCCCCCAGCCCACCAGGCACCTGCCACGTCATGGAGCCAGCCTTCACTCCGATTCTTGGGGTGTGTTTTCTCTGACTTCATCCGGGCTGGGGCTTTACTCTACACTCCACCGGGAAGCTGTTGTGGAAGATACCAGAGCCTTGTGGGTTCACTTCTCATCCCTTTTGGCGCAGCTTTGGTTTGGTCTCGTGGTGCCAGGGATGAGACCCAGGGCCTGGCCGATGGGAGGCGCAAGCTTCATCTCTACGCCACGATGCCAGGCTCGGGCCTCTTGGCAGCTTTGGACAAGTTGATTGCTCCCCCAGCCTGCCCTGCCCTGCCGCCCTCCTCTGCTGCACGTGTTCTCCTCTGCTGACCTCCCTCCCCCAGGGCAGGGGGCCCTGACATGCTGCTCACTCCCTGCTCTCCCTTCAGCCCCCCTTGGCAATCTTCTCCAGCCTTGTGGCTTAGTTAAAATCTCTTACCACACAGGACCCAGACCTCCCTGTACCTCTCTCCGGAACTCAGACATCTGTCTGTATGCTTGACATCTGTCCCATCAGCGTCTCGGACCCCCCATACTTGTTTTCCTCACAACCGATCCCCTGGTCTGAAACAAGAATTGCAAGTCCAGCCTTGTGCCGACTGGGGTGCAGAACCCTGGATCCTCACCCTGACCGTTTTCCCTGCCACGTCCAGTCTGTGTCGGTTCTGGGGGCTCGCTGCCTTCCGAAGCTGCCCCTCCTAGCATGGGAGGGTGATGGAGACACGGACGGAGTGGTGGCTGCAGCTGCGTGTTGCCAAGAAAGGCAGTCAGCCTTTCAAAGCTGTAGTTTCCAAACTCACAAAATGAGCCCAGGGACGCCAGGGAGCATACCTGGCTCGGTGTCTGGCCCTGTGTGTGTGTGTGTGTGTGTGTACAAAATGAGCCCAGGGACACCAGGGAGCTCTAGCTGTGTGTGTGTGTGTGTGTGTGTGTACACGCATACACATTTCCAGAGGAAGCCCAGGGACACCAGGGAGCTCTAGCTGTGTGTGTGTGTGTGTGTGTGTGTGTGTGTGTGTGTGTGTGTGTGTACATGCATACACATTTCCAGAGGAAATCCTTTTCGACCACAAAGAGCCAGGGCTCCTTGAAGAGTGGCTGTCTGGGGACAGAGAAATCACAGGATGGATTCAGAGTACAGTTGTGTGGACAGATGCCCTCACATGGGCAAAGGCTCATATGCTGGCAGCAGTCATTCAGAAGTACTTCCAGCCAAGTAACGTTACTTCAACTTCTGTCCAAGATGAGACCAGGATCCGAATGCACCCTCCTAACCAAAAAACCAGAAAACACCCACCCAGACAATATGTGTGGACCAAGAGTCTCCAAGGAATAGACCTTAGGTCACACCACGTTCATCTGTGAGAATCAGCGGGTTGAACCCTGGCGTCTCCTCAGCACGCTGCCTTGAGGTTTCCAGGTAGAAGTGCAGGGAGAGGGAGTCACATGGGACCCGGAGAGTCCCTGGATTGTGGCCACGGTGATGAGGGTCCCTGAGTACCAGGATGGTAAGAGCACAGCAGATTGCCGAGGAGGAGAGAGCCTGGACTCTGAGAGCTGAAAGTGGGGACTCGGGTGTATTCCACGGGGTGGTGTGCCCTACTCTTCCACTCCCTCAGCCCCAAAAGGTCCTGAGTGTTGCCCCCACCGCCTCCCACGTTAGGCAGTGGGGGGGGGGGGGGTTGTGTCTGCTGGATATACCTCCTCCGGGAGTGTCTGCCGCGGGCTGTGCGTCTGCCCTGGCGATGACACATCCTCACCAGTGGAGAAGTGCCCTGGCAGTGGGCGCAGCTCTGAAGAGAAACTCAGGCACCCAGGGGCTCCCTGGCCCAGCCTGGGACAGCCGCCCACCAAGAGAGGGATCAGTCTTGGGGGACATCAAAAGAGAGCTTAGAGGGACTGGAGCAATAGCACAGTGGGCAGGGCGTTTGCCTTGCACGCGGCCGACCTGAGTTCGATTCCCAGCATCCCATATGGTCCCCCAGCACTGCCAGGACTAATTCCTGAGTGCAGAGCCAGGAGTAACCCCTGTGCATCGCCGGGTGTGACCCAAAAAGAAAAAAGAAAAAAAGCTTAGAAAAGCACGCGGTCAAGAGCAGGGGGGCAGAGGGGACGAGGCCAAACAGGACTCCCTGGGCAAGAGACAAGAGGCAGTACAGCGGAGAGGGCTCCACCATGCATGTGGCTGACCTGGGTTCAGTCCCTGACAGGTCGTCCAAGCCCACCAGGAAAGATCCCGGAGCACAGAGCCAGGAGTAAGCCCTGTGCACCACCAGGTGTGGCCCTCAAGCCAAGGATAGGGCCCATGAGGAGGGTCTTCTCCTTCCCCCAAGGTCACACAATGTTCCTGAATGCCAAGAGGGAGGTTTTCTTATGCTTTGTAGCCTCAGCCCTGCACATAAGGACAGGGACTAGGAGAGATGTCTTTGCGGGACTTAGCGCTTTTCTAGACATTCCTGCATCAGACATTCCTCCTTGCCTCTATTTCACATGGAGTAGGAGCCACCAGGAGAAGGCCTGAAGCCGCAATGGCACCCAGCAAGTCCCCCACTGGCCCATGTCAGTTCTCCGCACATGAGCAATCCGGCCTGCACAGAGGAAGGAGCCCCGAGACCACAGCCAGGATGTCTTGGCGTTGAGGTCTGATTCCACCTAGACGTTGCCCGTACCTGGGACACCTTCCTCAGCATCTCCATCTCACTAAGACTTTTGTAACAAGGCTCCCACTGGAAAGTGCGAAGTTACCTTCTTTTTTTTTGGGGGGGGGGGTCACACCTGGCGATGCTCAGGGTTTACTCCTGGTTCATGCACTCAGGAATTGCTCCTGGCGGTGCTCAGGGGACCATATGGGGTGCTGGGAATTGAACCTGTGTCGGCCATGTTGGCTGCGTGCAAGGCAAACGCCCTACCCACTGTGCTATCACTCCAGCCCCCGAAGTTACCTTCTTTCCCTTGGAAGCCGGCTGACTGTGGCTTATGGGAACAAAAGGATGTGGGGTTGTTGAGGTTTTAGATCAGTAATTCAAAGTCCATTTCATCTGGTGGTAAATACGATTTTATTTTTTTACAAAAGTACTTAGGAAAATAGAAGGCGGGGAAAAAAAGCTTTCATTTTTCTCTTCTCAGAAATGGTCCGGGCTGAGATAAGAAGGTACCGAGCCTTGGCAGGCTCTGAGTCAGGCCTTTGGGCTCTGCTGCCCCCTCCGCTGCCTTTGCAATAGAAATCGGGGCTGGGGAGGTAGCTTCAAGGTCCCGAGAGAACGCCCAGCCTGCAGGAGGGTCCAGTCCTCAGCACCACGTGTGCCACCCACACACACGGCGCCTCGGAGTAGTGGCTGAGCCCTGCCAGGTGTGGCCCCAAATAAAACCTACCAGCTGTGCAGCATCTGCCAGAAGCATGCACTCTGTGCAAGCAGTGAGGATGCTGTAGAGAAAGAAACGCCCATTTGCCCGTGGTGGCAGCAGGCCAGCGGTCTGGGTACAGCACACGTGGTCGTGGCCATGCTCCTGAGGTGGACCAGGGCTTTGCAGGACAAGGGCTGACCATGCCTGAAAAGGGAGGCCACTGTTGTGCGGGGAGGGCGCTTGACAAGCTGCAGTCCCCTCCCGGGGAGCCTGCCCCCAGCCTCAGACGCCTGGTAGCACGTTCAGCCTGAGGGTCCACCTCCCCTTAGCCCCCCCCAGTCCCCCCCTAACCTGGCACGCCCCTAACTGCCAGCTGTTTCATCTCCTATGCCAAACCACACAGGTCCGGGGGGGGGACATTGGTCAGGCACCAGGCAGATTGCAGGTGACCCCTTTTCCCACGAAACCCGGGGCTCCCCCTCACCCAGGGGGCAGCTCTGTGTGGGGTGGGGGTGGCCGGGAGTCGGGGAAGCATGAAGCTCAGGGAAGACTGAAACCACGATCCAGCAGGCAGAGAGAGGGTGAGAGGCAGGCGCCCTGGCTCTGGATGGGAAAGAACCACACGCCAGCGTGATTGAATGTTGCCCACGGGGACCCCTGCTGGGCCGCTCCCTGGCCCTGAGCCCTTCCTCTGCCCTGTGCTCCCAGCAGACCCAGGCAGGGCTGGCAGGGAAGTTTGCAGAACAGAGGGCCTCTCTCTCCAGCTCTGTCTGAAGCACATAAGAAGGAAGCCCCCAGCCTTCTGGTTCCAGGCCACATTCCGCAGAGGGCCAGGTAGAAGGCAGGTCTTTCCCAGGCTCCAGGGGGCCCCTTCTCGGACAGGGACAGGGCAGTGAGCAGTGGGCTATGCTCTGCCCTCCTGCCCAGCTCTGCATGGCGGCGGGAGCCTCGACTGCAGCTGGCCCCCACCAAGCATGCACATTGGAAAAGGCCAGTCTTGAGGGACCGGCGCGGTGATGATTTGCTGTAGGCGTCTCATCCCAGAGTGCCGTCCCCAGGACAGGGACACCCCAGTCTGGTTAGTCGCACAGTAGAGGCAGGGGACCACGGCCTCAGCTGCAGTACTCCCGCTCGATGCTCGCCATCAGCTCCTCTTCGGAGCAGTCGTATGAGACGGCCAGCTGCCTCTTGGGACCCTCCGGGCTGCCGCCTGGGCTTCTGCGGAGATGGACAGGGTGTCAGGAAGCAAGACCTCTCCACTGTGTCAGTACCGCCGCTCGATGGGATTCTGACCCATCTTTACCCTAAACCAAGCAGGACTCCTATCCAGGGACATAGTCTCCGTCTTTTATGGGACCTTTTTTTTTTTCTCCTTTTCCCTCTGGCTTTGCCTCCCAACATTAGCCACCAAAATCTTAGCCTGCAGCGGGGGCAGAGAGATAGTTCCGCAGGTGGGATGCTTGCCTTGCACACAGCCAACCCAGTTTCCATCCCTGGCATCCATTTGGTCCCTCAAGCACCACCAGGAGTGATCCCTGAACTCAGAGGCAGGAATTTAGCCCTGAGCATCGCCGGAAGTAGCCGCCAAACAGAAACCAAACCTCAGTCTGTGGGAGGCCTGTGCTTATAAGCAGCAAAGGTTCTAGGTGGACAGACCCAGTTTGAATCCCAATTTGAAGCCCTGGGGTACAGACGGGCACCTCTGCCTCCATTTTTCCTTCTAGAAGGGGGCTGTCGTCCTGCATTCACCTAGAGCCTAGGTAAGCAATGCTCTGGGAGGAAAGACTGAGGGGTGCTCACAGCACAGCCCGGAGGATGTTACCATCCGCCGGGCTCACTCCAGAGCCACCATGCCAGGGACACAAGCAGCCACAGTGACTTGCATCCCAGCGGGCACAGAGTGACCAGAGCCGGCCCCTGTTCTGGTTGCCCACCCACCCTGACTCAGCTGTGACACCCACTCAGCCCCCGGCACCTGGCCCCACCGCCCACCATCGCACCTCTGACCCCCAGGAGCGCCTGAAGCCTCAACCAGGCTGCCAGCTGGACCATGCAGCCTCCAACCCGGGGCAGGACCGACAGGTCAGGGGGTCAAGGCGCCTTGGGCGGGGGGCATCTCCTGGCTCCGGGGCCTCCTCCAGCCTGGTCTCGGGGCCTGAGGTCCCTGGTACATACATTTTCCTGGTGAGATGGCAGGGATGACAGGGGTGCTGTCACCCTCCTGGACTTTGACTCGCCCACTGAAGTGCCACTCGTGTTTCTGAGTAACCGGGGGCAGGAAGGGGAACCCTGAGGGTCAGAGATGTCCCCTGGGACCAGGGTCACAGTCTCTTTCGGGCAAAAGCTCAGAGCAGCTGCAGGGAGCTGGGAGGGTTCCTTCCCATCACACTGGGATCCTGCCTGGAGGAACTGAGTTTGACACGGGAAGAGGAGGTGACGTGGGGACCTGGCAGGGCCTGGTGGGGTGGCGGGAGCCTAGGGAGCTGCACTTCTGTACTTACTGGAGCACTCGCACACTGCCACTTCCCAGGCCGTCTTCTGGGGTCACCTGGAGGAAGACAAAAGGAAGAGACATCAAAAGGCTGCCTCTTTCCCTCGGTGTCTGCCCAGCGGTGCTGGACCAAAGGAGGCAGGAACCAAAGTCTCTGTGGAGAAAGAGACTCCTCTCCCTACCAGAGAGAAGAGCTGTGTGTGACGGCAGGGCGGGGTCTCAAGGAAGATGGTTCATGCTTGGGCTCGGGAATGAACTGCTCCCGGGCCAGGACCGAATGGCAGGCAGCACCTGCCTGCAGGTGAGCGGTCCTGGGTTCGATCCCAGCGTTGAAGAGAAAGTGAAAGCTCAGTAGATGAGTTTATAATGTGCTCTCTCTCCCTCTCTCTCTTTCTTGCTCACTCGCTCTTGCTCTCTTTCTCTCTCTCTCTTTCTCTCTCTCTCTCTGAAAAAAGTGAAGTTTATTGGCAGCATATTCATTAGAAGGCCGAGTGAAAACCAGGAATGAAGATCAGATGAGATCGTAATCATTTTACATGTAATAAAAGATACCACTATACAGAATTATTGGAGTCGGAGAGATAGTACAGTGGGTAGGATGTTTGCCTTGCATGCAACTGACTTGACTTGAGTTCGATTCCCAGCATACCCATATGGTCCCCTGAGCACCTCCCTGAGTGCAGAGCCAGGAGTAAACCCTGAGCATCACTATGTGTGGCTCCCCAAAATCAAAATAAGTAAATAAAATAATTATTTAGCTAGAAGATCAATCAGGGAAATTCTCTCTGAAAACAACACAAAAAGACACAGAAATCTTCAGAGCTTATTGGAAAGCCAGGTATGAAACTGCAGTCTCATGGGAAGGGGGCGGTACCAGCCTGTCCTTCATGCCCTACCGAGGTCACGAGTTGGCCCCAACGGGCAGCTCTCCAGCACAGCCATAACACCACACGCACAGAAACCAGACTCGTAATTATCTGACTCTTTGCAGAAATCCAAAATCGCGCGGCCGCTATCCCACGCAACATTATATGATTCTCATAACCAGCTATAGAAAATAAAGTATTTCACAATGCCTTTTCAGCAATCCTGATGGGGGGGGGATTCTAAACAATAATGGTGCATCTTTTGTCGAAATAATGAATGTAATCAATGTAGAGAAGAGTTAAGTAGAAATCATCTGCCTCACAGGCATTGGGAGGGGTGGGATGGGGGGTATATTGGGGTTCTTGGTCATGAAAAATGAGTACTTGTGAAGGGAAAGGTGCTTGATCATTGTATGACTGAGACTCAAACCTGAAAGCTTTGTAACTTTTCCCACAGTGATTCAATAAATGAATATAAGAAGAAAAAAATAAATAAAATTATGAAAAAAAAAGTAAGGTGGAGTTCATGCCCAATTCAATCAGCTAATCAGCGGCTGAATAAATAGCAGTACCCCTACATAAAAAAAAAAAAGACACTGGGACTGGAGCAATAGCACAGCGGGTAGGGAGTTTGCCTTACACGCAGCCAACCTGGGTTCGATTCCCAGCATCCCATATGGTCCCCTGAGCACCACCAGGGATAATTCCTGAGTGAAGAGCCAGGAGTAACCCCTGTACATTGCTAGGTGTGACCCAAAAAGCCAAAAAGCAAAAAAAAAAAAAAAAAAGACAGAAATGCAAGAGAGAATATGAATCCTAAATAAACTATGAAAACATAGGGGCTGGAGTGATATTACAGAGGATAAGGTGTTTGCCTGGTACATGGCCTACCCAGGTTCAATCCCCAGCACCACATATGGTCCCCCTGCTCACCAGGAGTGATCCCTGAGCTCAGAGTCAGGGGTAATCCCTGAGCACCACCAAGTGTGGCCCCCAAACCAATAAAACCAACAAAAATCAATAAAACGCATCAGGGTTGCACAGCTAGTCCAGAGAGGAGGCACTTGCCTTGAACTGCAGCCAGCCCTATTTGGATTCCCAGTACCACACAGTCCCGCGAGCACTGCCAGGGCTCACTCCTGGGGCCTTGAACTGCAGCCAGCCCTATTTGGATTCCTAGTACCACACAGTTCCGCAAGCACTGCCAGGACTCACTCCTGGCTCTGGGCTCAGGGAATCCTATGCGATGCTGGGGATTGAACCAGACACTTGCAAGGCAAGTGTCTTACCCACCTCCTATCCCCCCTGGCCTGAGCACGCATTTTGCAAGAAGCTGACCTAGCTCCCCTCACTGGGTGATTCTGGACAGGTTTCTTAGGCGCTCTAATCAGTGATTTTCTCATCTGCGGCCAAGTTTACTGTGAGATAGTTGAAAGTGATTACCACAGTGCTTGGCACTCGGTACATACTGAATAAATATTAGCCACGAGCATTTCTCATCATCAGCCCGATGCTGTTCACACGATTAACCTGTTCACAGGAGTTCATCCTCCCTCCCTTTTCCCACGTTCACAGATCTCCCAGCAGGGCAAACAATTGGTACTAATTATTTCCTGAACTGAGTTCAATGTCAAGTTGCCGGGTCCTTTCCACCTTGGCTTTAACACCTGCATTGTGGCTGGGGCTGAAGCTCTGCTGTAACATGCATATGGGAGGCCTCTGGGTTCAGTGCCAGGCAATGCCAGAATATTTGTTTAAAAAAAAAAAAAAACGGGGGCTGGAGCAATAGCACAGCAGGTAGGGCATTTGCCTTGCATGCGGCCAACCCATGTTCAATACCCAGCATCCCATATGGTCCCCTGAGCACCGCCAGGAGTAATTCCTGAGTGCATGAGACAGGAGTAGCCAAAAAACAAACAAAACAAAAACAAACAAACAAACAAACAAAAAGATATTGCAATGTGTATGGAAGAATAAAAATAGTATGGAAAATGTCCTAGTTTCCCGCTAACGGTGCTATGCCTGTGGGTGGACCAAGAAACTCTCCAAGCCTCAGTTTACTCATCAGCTTGATGGGGACCTTACCTCAAAGTTGTCATAAGAGAACATCCAGTGGCTACCTCGCCTTTGGGACAATGCCCCCCCCCCCCAATAAGTGCCTGATGAACACTGAGGTGAAGAGCTGAACCACTTTTTAGCTGAGTCACCAGACTCAGTCCTGCAAGAAGCTCCTGAAACTGTGGGGCATAGCCCCATTTGGGGACATATAACTAAATATGGAGGTTGTGAAATATCTTAAAGATTTGTCTTGTCTCAGGGGGCTGGAGCGATAGCACAGCGGGTAGGGCATTTGCCTTGCACGCAGCTGACCCGGGTTCGATTCCCAGCATCCCATATGGTTCCCCAAGCACCACCAGGAGTAATTCCTGAGTGCATAAGCCAGGAGTAGCCCCTGTGCATCGCCAGGTGTAACCCAAAAACAAAAACAAACAAACAAACAAACAAAAAAGATTTGTCCCAGGGCTAGAGAGGCTGTACAAAGGTTAAGGCACTTGCTGTCCCATAAGGCAATTGGTTCCAACCCCCGCACCACATATGGCCCCTCTGGGCACCACCAGGCTGTATCAATTAAAAAAAAATTTTTTTTGTTGTGATTGGGGTGGAGGGGAGACTGTTTTTATGGGCCAGATAGACAGTACAAAGGTTAATGTATGGCTGCACCTGTGATCCCTGAGTATCATCAGTACAGGTTGGAGGTCTCTGCCACCCTCCCTTCTAGTCTCAGGATACCTCTGGAGTTTTGTTCTAGTCACATCTGGGTGTGACTAGAACAAAACAAAAAGTGTGTAAGGAGAGCTGCAGCAATAGTACAGTGGGGGAGAGCGCTTGCCTTGCACACAGCCAACCGGGGTTCAATGAGCATCACCAGGAGTGATTCCTGAGTGCAAAGCCAGAAGTAAACCCTGAGGAGTACTGCCAGTGTGGAAGAAAAACGATGAGGAGGAGAAGGAGAAGGAGGAGAAGGAAAAGAAGAGAATGAGGAGGAGGAGGAGGAGGAGGAGGAGGAGGAGGAGGAGGAGGAGGAGGAGGAGGAGGAGGAGGAGGAGGAGGAGGAGGAGGAGTCAGGATAAGATATGCCTGGTGGGCGGAGGACTCTCACCACCTGCCACCCTCTGACCTCTGTGCTGCTCATCTCAGCGAGATGTGACATACTGGTCCTTCCGTGACTTGCCCCCCACCTGCCCCGGGCCTGCATTTCCATCCTTGTCAAGGCTGATTAACCAGGTGGACACGCCGGCTTTCCACTCAGCCACAGACACCGCTGCTACTGCGGGAGCCCACAGCTTCAGTGACCAGCTTGGCTTCTGCAGGACCAACCTGCGTGTGGGTTGCCGTGGCTCTGGGGCTCCCCTCCGAGGGTGCAAGGGTGTGAGGCTGGTCCCTCCCTGCCCACCGTCAGGCCCCACAGGGTTAGCCACACACCTGGCCCCGCATGGGGACCCAAAGAAAAGTCGTGCTCGTTCTTTTGCAGCTTTCCTGAAGGCAGCCTTGTCTGGTCTGCTAGGCTGTCTCCTGTGCCCACACGCTGAAGGAGTGGGCCTGTCCTCAGTTTCCCTGATCTGGACTTTCTGGAAGGACTGAAGTGATAGCACAGCGAGTAGGGCGTTTGCCTTGCATGGGACCCACTCGGTCGACCCAAGTTCGATTCCTCCGCCCCTCTCAGAAAGCCTGGCAAGCTACCGAGAGTATTCTGCCCGCGCAGCAGAGCCTGGCAAGCTACCCGTGACGTATTCGATATGCCAAACACAGTAACAAGTCTCACAATGGAGACATTACTGGGCCCGCTCGAGCAAATCGATGAACAACGGGAGGACAGTGCTACAGTGCTACAGGACTTTCCAGGAGGGAGGCGGGTGGGAGAAGCTCCCAGAGACGTCGTGGCTGAAGCAGAGACACAGCAGCCCCTAGAGGCCACTCTGAGCATAGCATAGGCGCGAGCTGCTGCTACCCAGTGTGCTCTGGCCACGTGGACTCTGGTGAAACTCTGGGGCCTTGCGAGATCTAAGCTCAGGGCCTGTGTGTGAGCTTGGATGCTTGGATGGGCAGGATGGAAGATGGGGAGGGGGTAGAAGGAAGAGAGGGGAGGAGGGGAGGGTCCAAGAAGCCTGAAAACCCACAGCACAGTTGGGT